CAGGACTGCTATGAATCGTGGATAATAAAGGACTCTCCTCATTTGACCAACTTTCTCTTTCTCATTTATTGGGTTCAGTTCAACATGTTTTTATTGAGCAGCTGCCATATACCTGATATTGTGACAACCCCAAGAACATCCACAAAAAACACATTTGTTGCTATTGATTTGGTTCTAATTCAGGGTAACCCCATGTATTTATTACAGAGCAGATCTGCTCCATAGGGTTTTCTTGGCTGTCATCTTCAAAGAAGCAGCATAATAGTCCTTTCTTGTATGGTGCCTCTGAGTGGGCTTGAACTGCTAAACTTTAGGTTAGTAAAAAACTAAAACAACAAAAAAAGACCATTGCTATCAAGTTGAATCCCATATCTAGTTTCAGAGACTTTAAGTTTCTGCAGGAGCCAACAGCCTCATCATTCTCCCATGGAGCGAGTGACTGACTGGTGGTTTGAATTGCCGATTTTGTGGTTAGCAGTCCAGTGCTTATCCTACAGTGCCACCAGGGATCATTTTAGTTAAGCTGCCATTGTTGTTGTTAAGTGCCGTCGAGTTGGTTCTGACTCATAGTGGCCCTGAATAGGGTTTCCAAGGAGTGGAAGTTGACTTTGAACTGTCAACCTTGTGGTTCAAACTGACTTTGTGGTTTAGTGCATTATTCTACAGTGCCACTCCAGGTTAGTAGACTATGGAAACTCAAAAACTGAGGACCTCATGTGAACTCCAGGGATTCAGAAATGAGAGTAGGTAAGAGCTTGCCACCGCTATTGAGTCGATTCTGACTCATAGTGGCTGTATAGGACAGAGCAGAACTGCTTGCTAAGGTTTTGGAGACTGTCTGGCTTTACAGAAGCAGACAGCCTCATCTTTTACCCTCGGAGCAGCTGGTGGGTTTGAACTGCTAACCTTATAGTTAGCAGCCCAATGCATCACCTACTGTTCCACTGGGACTCCTAGTAAATGTCCAGGGTCTATGATTTTCCTACCTTTTCTTCTTTTCTCCTTACCACCGCCTCCCCACTTCCTCTGCTACCCTCCCTTCTCATCCTCCTCTTCCAGAAACACCCCGTGCCTCACTCTCCTCTAGCCTCGTCTCTGCATCTGATGCCAGGAGAGAATGTAGACTCTAGGCTAAGCAGGATGACAGAGTCCCTGGGAAATTCAGCTAAAGGTGCCCTCTAGGCCACTACCCCATGTGGCAGGTGATAGATGAGAGTGAGCGTCCAAGACCCATCCATCATGTCCACCTCCTTCCCCGGCCCAGACAGAACGGAAATGACTTTCGTCAGCTCTGCAGTTGCCCACTGCCCCTGGTGGCTCCAAGCTGTTTATTAAAAAAGAAAAAAGAAAACTGTGTGAATACTGTCTTGCCGTGCATTAAGGCAGCGATCGAAAACAAACACACCTTCTGGTCATCTGTAGGAGCTTTTCAGCTCCTTCCCTGGCCTGTGTCTGTCCAGTGACAGAGATGGGAGGTGACAGGCATGGAATGAGGAGGCAGGCAGATGTGCTGTGCAAATTGTGTGGCTTTTATTTGAGCATCTCTGGGCTAATCCCTCTTCTTGGCAATGACAAGAACCATGGTCAGCTGTCTCTTCATTCATCTGCCATCCTTCTTGGAACTTCAATGGAGCATTTAATTGATGCAAATGGGTAGGACAGAGATTCAGAGTGTATTTGTAGGGATAATGATGACTGGAATCCTGGTGTGGCACTGTGTATTAATGCGTCAGACAGCAAAGCTGTTTGAACTGCCCGGTTGGTGGTTCAAACTCACCAGCTGCTCCTCAGAAACCCTATACAAGGTCGCTAGGGGTCGGAACCGACTCCAAGGCACTTAACAACAACAACAATTCATTGTTAGCACTCCTGGAAGATAAGCTCTAAACTGTGAACCACAAGGTCAGTGGTACAAACCCACCTGTCACTCCTCAAAAAACGTACACAGGGTCATTAAGAGTTGGAAGTGGCTCAATGGCTCTTAACAACAACATCAACATTCATTGTTAGGACTCCTGGTATGGTGTTGTAGGATAAACACTAGACTGCTAACCACAAGGTTGGGAGTTCATGCCTACTAACTTAGCTATTCCTCAGAAACCCTATACAAGGTTACTATGAGTCAGAATCGACTCAACAGCACTTAGCAACAAACAACAATTAATTGCTAAGGCACCCTAGTGGCACAGTGGATTAAGCATTGGGCTGCTAATCGCATGGTCCGTGATTTGAACTGACCAGTTGCCTCATGGGAGCGGTCTGCTCCTGTAAGGATTGACAGTTTTGGAAACCCTGAGGTGCGTTTCTCCTCTGGCCTAGAGGGTTGGTTGAGTTGGATCCCACTCCATGCGTTGGGTTTATTTAATGTTAATCATCTATGGTTGATAATCACTAATTTTAGGTTATTAAGGATTTACCATAACTGTACCATTTAAGTACCACGACAAGGGCTTTTGTTTTCATTTTCTCTAAAGACCCCTGGGTGGCGCAAATGGTTTGCACTTGATACTATTAACCTAAAGTTTAGCATTTCAAGCCCTCTCACTAGACCTAAGGAAGAAAGACCTGGCTGTCTGCTTTCATTAGATGATAGCCAAGAAAACCCTGTGGGCAGTCCTACTCTGTCACACATGGGGGTGTCATGAGTGGAAATCAATTGGACAGCAGCAAATTAATCTTCACATAGATTTCTGAAGTTTGCAGTTGCCTCTGAACCTAGAGGTTGGTGATTCAAACCCACCCAGTGGCTCAGCAGGAGAAAACCTAGAGATCTGCTTTTATAAAGCAGACAGCCAAGAATATCCTGTGGAGCACAATTTTGCTCTGGAATACATGGAGTCTCCATGAAGTAGAATTGACTCGGTGGCAAACAGTTTTGGGTGTGGTTTTAACCTCCCTGTGAGGCAGGACTTCTGGTATGGCTTTGTAGGATAAAGACAAGTTCTGTGATTCAAGCCCACCAGCCTCTCTAAGAAAGATGAAGCTTTCTGCTCCTGCAAAGAGATAGGAACAAGGTCACTAGGAATTGGAACCAACTCAACAACACTTAACAACAACGAGGCTGGCACTAGAGGAACATGGTGGCTCTGTAGGATAAGTGCTTGACTGCAAGCCACAAGGACACCAGTTCAAGCCCGCCAGCTACTCCATGGGAGAAAGATGAGGCTTTCTGCTCATGTATAGCTTTCAGCCTTGGAAACCTTATACAGGGTTGCTATGAGTCAGAACCAACTCCAGGGCACTGAGGTGGGAGGACATGCGGAGAGAGCTTCAGATAGAGGGGACAACAACCACAGAGCTTGGGAGAAAGAAGACTTGGCATGTCTGAGGAGAGAAACCAAGGCATCTGGGGCCTTGAAAGAAGACTCAAGGTTGGAGAGGGAACGGAGAGTTCAACCATGGGATAACTGATGTCACGGCACCCTAATCATACCCCAACCATGACCTAGATGGTTTACTTGCTCACCTAGCAGCCTGCATAGGACAGGCATTTGAGCAAAGCCAGCTTGGTGCCCTGTCATTCATCCCACGCTCTGTCACACCCAGCCCTGGGACACCTCGTAGTTCCTGGATCTGGGGAGACCCCCACCAACCCTGGAACAAGAGGACAGTTGAAATTGGCCTCCAGGCCAATTGAATGAATGTCCAGGCCCCGCCCCACACCACCCTGACCCCACCCTATCTGTATTGCCTCCAGCCATTTTCAGCCTGGCTTCCTCCCCAGAGTCACTAGGCCATCTAGTCATGGAGGAGAGTAGTTTGTCCTTCCTTTACAGTGTCCTGTTGCTGTTAGGTGCTATCCAGTCAGTTTCGACTCCTAGCAATTCCACGTGACAGAGTGTCACTGCCCTGTAGGATTTCCGAGGCTGTCATTTTGTAGGAGGTGACTACAACAGTCCAATGACCTTTCGTCAACAGCCAATCTTGTAACCGTGGTGCCAACAGGGCTCCTTTGAGTGTAGTTGGGGATGATGATAGCACACAGGTGAATAAGAAGCCTTCCTCTAAATCCTGAACCCAAAGCCCAACCACACTGATGTGTGGATGGCTGCATTCTACCATGGTTCCTATTACTGCAGTTAAGACAGCCCTGAGGGCAGCCATGGGAGCCGAAGGAAGGCAGCCTGAGCATTGCTTCCGCCTGTGTTCAGCTCTGACACTCTGACACCTGGCTTCTCCTTTTGCTTTCTGTAAATGATGACTTTGCTGAAGGACAGGAACAGGGGTGTCTATTCCAGGGAGGACAAATCCATTTCTGTATCAAAGGGAAAGCTGAGGGACTCTAGCCTCTCACCTTTTAATAATACCCTTTTGTTTTATAATCTGTGATTTCTTCCCACTTCAAGGCTCCTGCTTTTCTGAGGTGAGTTATGTTGGGCTTAGCTAGATCCAGCTCTCTGGGCCCAAGAGACAAGCCTTGGTGTGGTTCCAGAACACCAGGTGTCCTCGGGAATCGGGAATCTTGATTTCAAGTTGATTCCATGTAAATATTAACCGTTTTTGTAGGGCGGGGCAGGCATTTTAATCCTATACCTCACAAAACAGCCAGGGAGTCTCAGAGAAGTTATAAACTCACCTCCCAGAACCCCCACTTGATGGGACTCTAAATAAATAACAACCCTGCCCTCCCCACCACCCCCAGTCTTTGAGAAGCAAATGACTTGTTTCATAGTAAGTAGGTTCCAGAACAATAGCTCCTATTGCGTCAGATATGATACCTCACAAATCTAAGGCATCCTTCGTTGCTGCCGTTTTAATCCACTCAAATGTATTTAGCTGGGTTTAATTATAGACAGAAATTGCATTTCAGAAAGCTACAAGAAATCCTGGCTATGGCTCCAGTTTGCACATTATATCACATGGTTCATTTGAGAATGCGGTAGGGACAGTGTTTCCTAGAGAAAAACACTATTAGTGCCTGAGCTTCGTGGATCTATAGCCTCCACACAAATGGCACGAATAAGACAGTATCTTCTGACAGCTTTTTCCTTCTTGTGCAGGACTAACGAGGAGGCTGGGGATGCTGAGAGGACCAGACTCACATCAGCACTGAGTAGAACCCGCTGCAAGACCCCCGGGAGCCAGTCTCCCCTTTCCTCCCACGGGCAGAAGTATGGCCACTTTGGGGATGGTGAAGGTCTTGGTACTCAGAGGAAGAGTGTGGAGAAATTGGAAGCTCTGTCCCCTTCCCTATCTTCACAGAGTAGGCAGTCACCCCCGCTGTCAGGAGAAAAGCTGCCCCGCCCTTCGCCAGCCCTCTCCGAGTTTGTGGAAGGCCTCCGGAAGAGGAGAGCTCACAGGGGGCAGGGGTCCCCACTGGGTCTGGAGGACTGGCCCACCCTCCCCATCTACCAGACCACAGGAGCATCCATGCTGCGGAGGGGCAGGGCCAGCAGTGATGAGGGTGACCTCTCACTGAGGCTGGGGACAAGGTCACCCCTGGACCCAGAGGGTGCCACAGGTCTTCTGCGGTCCACCAGCCTGAAGTGCGTCTCATCCGACGGTGTGGGGGTCACTACACCACTGCCCGAGAAGCTGCAGACCCGGTTCAGTTCCTGTGAGTCCCTGATAGAGTCCAGGCCCAGCTTGGGGAGGGACCACAGCTCCTCGACTACATCTAGGGATGCCATCTCATCCCCTGTGTTGTACCCTCGGAGGCCGTGTCTGGATACCTCTCTGGAGGATGCCAGCTGCCCAGACCTGGGGAAAGAACCACTTGTCTTCCAGAACCTCCAGTTTGCTCACCTTATGGCAGAACCTCAAGCTAGTGACCCATTCAGCTGGAAGCTCTCCAGCCTCAGTTACAAACGCAAGACCCAAACGGATTTTGATGACTTCCTCCCGGCCATTAGGAAGCCCGAGACTCCCATTTCCTCATCTGGAGTGGCCAAGGATGGGCAAGACATCTCACAGCTTTCCAGCATCCACTGTGAAACGGAAGAAGCTGGCCGTTCCTTTCTCTCAGGAATCTGTGCAGCCTCGCCTAAGACCCCCGAGCCCAGGGAAGACCCCGCTCACCTCTCAGACTCATCCTCGTCCTCTGGCTCCATCCTGTCCTTCAAAAGTGCCGACAGCATCAAGAGCCGGCCAAGGATGCTGAGACTAGAGGGCGATGGTGGGGAGCAGACGTCACTGGAGAACAGAGAGACTGTACCCAGGACAAAAGAGGATGATGTTGAAAGCATCATGAAGAAGTACCTCCAGAAGTAGGACCCAGTCAAGGTAAACCTCACAGGCCAGGACCCTTCTTCCTAGTACCTTCCACCCTGGCTGGTTGCAGAAAGCCTTCTAAATCTAATCCCATAACGAATTTAACCATCTTCGTGCTAGATGCAGAGCTTGCCAGATACTTCCGTTGGGTATCACCCTTAAAGGTTCACCCTTTAAAATGCAGACCCATCCGAGTGCAGGAAGGACTCGTGGAGCACTCTTAAGAGCATGCCAGACTTTTAATGTTCCCTCTCCCTTCTCACATGTTCTGTCCAGGTGCGGGAGACACAGTGCTAGCGTTTCATTCTCATCATGTCCACAAATCACCTGGTGGCACAATGGGGGAGTCCTGGGCTGCGAACCGGAAGGCTGGCAGTTCAAACTCATCCAGTGATTCCAAGGATGAACGACCCAGAGAGCTGCTCCCATAAAGATGACAACTCAGAAGGCCATACAGGGCAATTCTGCTCTGCCAAGTGGGGTCACTGTTGTTGTGGTGGTGGGTGTTAAGTGCCGTCGAGTTGCATCCAACTCATAGTGACCCTGTATAGGGTTTCCGAGGAGCAACTGGTGGGTTTGAATTGCCAACCTTGTGGTTAGCAGTCCAATGCTTATCCTATAGCGCTGCACCAGGGATGTTGTTGTTGTTGTTGTTAAGTGCCATCGAGTCGGGTCCGACCCATAGCGACCCTGTACAGGGTTTCCGAGGGTGTAAATCTTTACGGGAGTAGAAAGCCTCATCTTTCTCCCGCGGAGCAGCTGGTAGTTTCGAACCTCTGACCTTAAGGTTCGCAGCCCGATTCGTAACCACTACGCTACCAGAGCACCAGGGATAGGAGTCCAATATTGATTTGATACCATCTAACAACAACTTAGATCAGAAAGCTATGGTGTGTTAATGGGCCCACAAAAGGTGGTCCATGTGGATCCTTTGAGGATCGTGGAGTTCTGCTCAGAGAAACTGAGGCCTAGAAGATGGGGAGGGGTATGTCATGGAAGTAATCCTTCTTTCAAGCCTATGTCCTACTCCCGTGCCCAGCCCTGAACTTCTGGGAGAAAAGTTAAGAAAGAAAGTAATTTCCAATAATGACTGATGTTCATTGAGTGCATCTACCAGACAGTCATTTTCTAATGAAAATAACCCCACGAGATGGTTATTATTAGTGCGGGTGGTTAAGTACCAGTGTGGACCCACCAGCCCCTCCGCAGGAGAAAGAGGAGGCTGTTTCCATAAGGACTTACAGCCTCCAAACCCTGTGGGGCAGCTCTTCTTTGTCCTATAATATCACTGTGAGCTGGAATGGATTCAATGGTAATGGGTTTCAATGTTTGGGTTTTGTTTGTTCATTTTTTCAGGTTGATAAGCTGAATCTCAGAAAGGTTAAGTCACTTGTTCCCAAACCATCCAGGTCAAAGTGGGATTCAGAACTCCAGAATCCCATGTTTACCTACAACATCTCTCCTCTGTACATGTCCCAGGTACCTATATGAGTGAACCCAGAGACATGTAGGTAGAGCTGGGTCTTTAACCTCCAAATGGAGGTAGACCCTAGAATCGTAAATCTAAAGGAGCATTGGGACTCATGGACCTGGAGCCCCATCGTTGTCCAAATGAGAGAGACAAATCCCCAAGTGGCCTTGACAAAGGACACCAGTGAGTCTGCTTCCAACCCTGCCATATGACTTCCAGCTCCATGCTCTTTCCCTGAGAACCTTTGTAGGGTCCTTGGGTTACTAACCACAAGGTTGGTGGTTCAAACCCACCAGCCACTCTGCAGAAGAAAGATGAGGCAGCCGGCTTCCATAAAGACCAACAGCCTCAGAAATCCTATGGGGGACATTCTACTCTGTCCAACAGGATTGCCATGAGTTGGAGTGGACTCAACAGCAATGGGTTGGTTTGCTTTCCGGTACTTATTTGCTTGGTTACTAACCTGAAGGTTGGTGGTTCTAACCCAGACTCAGGAAGAAAGGTTGACTGATCTGCTTTTGTAAAGTTGATAGCCAAAAGACCCAAAGAGAAAAGTACTAGTCTATATAGTCTATATAACCTATGAGGTCACTATGAGTCATAATCGACGTGACATCACAGATGTTTGGTTTGAAGACTGATGAGTCATAAAGGAGTGGAACCACACTTCAACTTAAGACACAATGCAAGCAAGAAATCCAATAGCTCTAGTTTTCAGAAAACCTTGAGTTTCCCATCTTAGAGCTCCTAGAGGCTCAAGCTGTATGCCCCTTGCCACGCCCCTAGCCTACCTTCAGGAAGCCCCCACAAACCACAACCAGCCCTGGGTCCTCCACTTTCTAGACCTGCTCCTCCAACACATTCCCCTCAGCCCATCAAAAAGCCATTCCCCCTTCCGTGGAGACAGGCTTGAACTGTATCCCGGCAAATTAATTTGACTTAACATGGCTCTTGTCTGTGTTCTCAATTACTGAGTGAAGATCTGATACTCATTTACATTATTATGCTCTTGGGGACACAGAAAGCAGTTTCAAAGGCCAAATAAAGGGCACACGTCCATGGGGGCGGGGGGAATAGTCCATAGCAGAAGCCTTCACAGAACATCTTGTCTCTCCCTTTTTTCTTTTTTTTAAAGAAACTCAAACTTTCTTTCCTCCTCACCCTGCCCCCAGCATGATTATTCTTAAAGGATGATTACCCTAAAAACAGGGCACCTGCCTAATCATCCTCCACCCTGATTTTTCTTCTAGAGTCTTGAACTAAACAATACAGCTCCACTCCCCAAGCACACATGGCTGTGGGTCCTGGAACTAAATTGGCCCAACCTCAAAGTTCATTTTTAATATGTACCCAGCCACAGACCTTGGGCCAACAATGGTGATGCTGCTGGGGCATCCATGCCCTCAGCTGGAATCTGAGATCACAGTCTCACCTTCCCAAAGGGTCGCTGGGTGGCACAAATAGTTTGTGCTCCACTACTAATCAAAAGGTTGATTTGAACACACTTGTCAGTGCTGAGGAAGAAAGGTCTGGCAATCTGCTTCCGTACCAAGTACAGGGTTCTAAAGGATGGAGCTGAAGGATAGAACCTCACCAAATCTCTTGTAGTTTCAGATGCCTAGAGCTTTTTCTATATATACAAAGGGGCTTCAGAACCTCAAGTTCCCTGGTTCAAGCTTACCAGATGCTCCTTGGAATCCTTATACCAGGTTGCTATGGGTCAGAACCAACTTGGCGACATTACACAACAGTGGGGGAGGCTTCAAATAGTTTGTGGACTAGTATATGACAGGAGTCCTAGTATGGCACTGTGGGTTAATGTGCTGGGCTGAAAGGTCAGTTGAACCACAAGGTCAGCAGTTCAACTCACTAGCAGCTCCTCAGAAACCATATACAGGGTCACCATGGGATGGAACCTACTCAACGGCACTTACCAACAAAAGTATATGACAACATTCAAAGGCCTTCTCCCGTAGTTGTTACCTGGCCAGGCTCAGCTCTATGCCGCCTCCTCCAAGGAGCCTTCCCTGATACAGACCTTCAGAGCTCAGCTCTACCATGTAATATATGAGGTCACTGTGGGTCAGAAGTGACTCAGCAGTAGCAATGCTTTTTGTTTCGATCTAAAGCAGCATTGTGGGGTCCTGGTGTAGCACTGTGGGCTAATGCATCAGACTGCAAAGTCGTTTGAACTACAAGGTCAGTGGTTCACGTTCGCCAGCTGCTCCTTGGAAACCCTATATAAGGTTGCTATGGGTTAGCATCTATTCGACAACACTTAACAACGACAAAAAGCAGCATTGTGAGTTTAAATGGAATGGATGATATTCCTAGCATAGAGCCTGGCACATAGTAAACGCAATACTTTGGGGGATTTGGGGTTCCAAGTTTTCTTCTATCTGTATCCTTTGTGCTACTTAGGTTCCTTCATTCCTCTCAGTGGAGTTTGTGTACTTAGGTTGTTGGATGCCATCAAGTAGGCCCCCAAGTCTGTACCTGTGTACGACAGAACACATCCCCATAATCTGCTACAGATCAGACTGTTGAAATCCCTGGGGTTTTTTGTTGACTGGTTTACAGAATCAGATCACCAGGCCTTTCTTCCTACTCAGCTTTTGTCTGGAAGCGCCACTGCAACCTCAGTATCATACTGTTGTTGCTACAAGCTGCCATTGAGGTGATTCCCACTCAAGGGGGGCCATGTATACAGAGTAGAACTGCTTCATGGAGTTTCAAGCCTATGACCTTTCAGAAGCAGATCGCCAACCTTTCGGCTAGTTGTTTGTGTAACCCAATGTTCAGCCTCATAGCAACATGCATAACAGATGGGTGGAGGCTGGAGCAGATAACCCAGTAAGCATGGGCTTCCTTGTGCTTATTTCCTCATGTATAGTGCAAAACTGTTCACTATAACCTAGTAAGTGAGCATAAGCAAGCCTGTGCTTACCTCGCTTATCGGGTCTTCTGCTGGGAATCCAATTCAGATCTCCTGCATGGATTCAGAGAATCCTACCACTAAACTACAACTGCCATCGAGTTGATTCTGACTCATAGTGATCCTGGGCTGTTGTTGTTGTTGTTAAGGGCCATCAAGTCAGTTCCGACTTGTAGTGACCCTGTATAGGGTTTCCAAGGATTGATAGTCTAGGAGAACTTATATAGGGCTGTCATGAGTTAGAATTGACTCAGTGACAGTATTTTTTATTTTCTTTTAATTCGGGAGCAAAGGAGCCCTGGTGGTACAGTGGGTTAAGCATTGTTGCTGCTAATTGAAAGGTCAGTGATCTGAACCCACCGGTCACTCTGAGGGAGAAAGATGTAAAGGTGGACAGCCTCAGAAACCTTAGGGCACAGTTTGATTCTGGTGTGGCACTGTAGGTAGGATAAGTGCAGGACTGCAAGGTCAGTTTGAACCACAAGATCAGCGGTTCAAACTCACTCGTTGCTCCTCAGAAACTCTATACTGTGAGGTTATGAGTCAGAATGAAGTTGATGGCATATATATATATCTATATACAGATATAGATAT